TAGCTTCTTGTTACTACTAGTAAGGCACTTGTTACTAGAAGCGATGCCCTAGTTCCTAGTAGCGAACATTGTTTCTACTATGGAGGTGTGCGTGAAGTCTCGTGTGCCTCGACCGCCGACACCGTCTCGGAGGAGCGTGCGCGGGCTGATGCGTTGGGAGTCGGGGGGTGCGTTCGAAGAGGCTACTCAGAGCACTTGTTACTAGTAGCGATGCACTTGTTACTTCTAGCGATGCACTTGTTACTAGTAGCGATGCACGTGTTACTAGTAGCTTCTTGTTAGGCTACTCAGAGGTGCAACTTGGAAAGTAGAAGCGAAGCTGTAGCAGTGCTGTAGCCAAGTCACACTTACCGAGCGCAACTTTTTCACGGGAGAACTAGACATCCGATTAGCATTGGGCAACAATGCACAAAAAAAGGAATTGACATGCTTCAAAAGCTTTGGATGGTGTTCCCGGTTGTGAAATTGCTCCCTGATTAGAATCCTCATGAAAACTGCTCCGAGGGGATGGATTTTGGATGCATTTTTTGTTGAAGCTTCGCTCCACAAAGGGCACGTGACTTGCAAAACCTCAACTGCCAGCCTCAGCGGCTTTTTGATCTCCTGCGATTGCCCACCAATATATGCGATGAGGACGCGGCTGCCGCCGACCGTGATGTGTGGACGGAGGAAAGGTGCATGGATGTGGGTGACGACTATGTGCGTTGTGCTTTCGGCAAGTGTGATAGTATGGGATGCAAATACTGCCAGCTGCCAGCTTAATGGATAAAAACTGGCAGGTGTGATAGAAGGCGATTTGGATCGTAGCCCTGAGCAAGTCAGAACAATCGGTTAACAAACGAAGGATGTTGATTTTCTTGACTGTTTGTCCGACTTCATCCCTCTCAATGGAGAAGATGTCGTCTCCACCAGCCGCGGAAGTGTAGGAAACAGAGACACCTGGCTCATGGAAAGGTCTAAAGAAAGAACGAGATGAAAAAGAAAAGGGTCTGAAATAAAGGTCTAAGGACAAGAATTACAAAGTCTAAAGAACTCAAGAAGAAAGAAAAAGGTCTAGAGATGAGAGAACTCTTGTTCACAGTCCGGAGGGTGGGTCTCACCGCTTCATGAGTTTCGTCTCACCGGCGAGCCAGGCCATCTGTCCTTTAAAATCCCATGGCGGCAAAAAAGACTACTGTAGCCTTCCCACCTGATAGCAATGGCCTCCAACCTACTAGCGATGGCCTCCAACCTAGTAGCAAAAAAGATCACTGTAGCTTTGCAGTTTCTTCATTCTCGGGCTAGACTTATGTTGTTGGGTACAGTATGGGAATATCAAGAAGCACTTCAGACTTGGCTTTGAAGCTGGCTCATTGCGAGGATTGTGTGAGGAAGAATTCCGGAAACCTCTTGCACAGCATCGATGACAAAGTGGAGGCGCGGCGAGTTCTTGACAAACCCAGAGTGCTTGCCACGTGCACGTCAGCTGCCTTGGGCTCACGTTTCCACACTACTCATTTGTGTCGAAAGCCAGATGAGCTCGATTTCAAAAGATTGTTGAATGCTTTTGAGAATGGGGTCATTACCCTCGAACCCTGACATCTTGCTGTTTAATGCACTTCCGGGAGGCAAGACCCTACTGTACTGGGGTCGGTTCTGCGTGATTTATCTGATACAGCAAGGCGTGGGTGAGGCGATTGTCTCAGCCTGGACTCCAGGTCGACAATGCTCCCATGCATCCATCGCTCCCTCCTTTGGGCAGCCCACAACGTGCACCACTGTCACCAGGCGGGCGTGCCACAAAGCCCCCAAATGGCTCCATGGTTTCAATCAAAGCCTTTAAGCAGTGCAAATCAACCGCCTGCCAAAGGGTTGAAACCGAAGTCAAAAACCGAAAAAGGAGGTTCTGGATGAAGTCTGACACTTGGATGGGTCCAAATGGCCTCAATGGTTTTGTTGGCAGCAAGTTGCATGGAGAGCCACGGTTTTGCAAGAGTAGCTAGAAGCTACTAATAGCAGGGGCATCGCTACTAGTAACAAGGGCATCGCTACTAGTAGCAAGAAGCTACTAGTAACAAGAAGCTACTAGGGGCTCCTGGCAGTACTACTAGGAGCAAGAACGCTACAAGGGGCTCCTGGCATCGCTACTAGCGGCTCCTGGCATCGCTACTAGGAGCAAGAACGCTACCATCGCTACTAGGAGCAAGAACGCTACTAGGCGCTCCTGGCATCATCGCTACTGGGAGCAAGAACGCTACTAGGGGCTCCTGGCATCATCGCTACTGGGAGCAAGAACGCTGGGGGCTCCTGGCCGTACTACTAGGCGCTTCTAGGGGCTCCTGGCCGTACTACTAGGAGCAAGAACGCTACTAGGGGCTCCTGGCCGTACTACTATAGGAGCAAGAACGCTAGGGGCTCCTGGCCGCACTACTAGGCGCTATTAGGGGCTCCTGGCCGTACTACTAGGAGCAAGAACGCTACTAGGGGC